AAGTTATAGCAAGAGATCTATATGCTATTATGGCATACAAACTCATCAAACTTATCATGTTATACCAACTTGTTCTAATACCTCTCATTCATAATTCTCATTCAGGGCCGTGTCCAGACTTTTTTGACTGGGGTGGCACAACTGGGGCACTGACTTATGCAGGAATATAATAGACCCCAGTCTGCAGAAAATAACACATTTATACTATAAAAACTGCATGGGATTAGCATAAAGTGGGCGTGTCTGCAAAGACTTGTGGGTACCCATAGAACCCATTTTCATTCAGATATCCAGAGGTCAAGGGATCCCTTTAAAAAATGGCCATGCCAGTCTTTTCGTTGCCAAAATGTTGCCTAAATTTAGAGCGTTATTTAGCCCTCATCCCAACATGCTAGCATGACATGGCTGGTATCAATGGATGTGTTAGGTCTTTTAGGTTTCATATGATACCAGTATCTTCCCTCTAGCTGGAGTGGCAGGTAAGGATAATGGGGTGACACTTGGGGTGGCCAATCAGATTTCAGGGGTGGCCAGTGACCCCCCTCTGTGAACGCCCCTGTTCTCATTTCTAGCCAATGACCAGCAATTTTACTGGAACGATGATTTAATCAGCTGTAGCTAGCCAGAAACATTGGAAGAAGTATTCTGGTCTTTTACTTAAAGCAGCTACGAGGAACTTTGATTTTGTGTTGATTCTGGCGGCCCCTCTGGACAAAAATGGTAGTGTTTCTAGTGCCTCGTTTCATTAATTCTGACCGAATCTAACCCAGTGACAGACATTATACGTAACTATATAGAATATATGTACAGTAGGTCATATAGAAGCATCAGAGTTAAATTCAGACTGTACCTCACATATTCATTAATAAATTATTCCTTACACTTTTGCTCTTGTGGTTTTGGAATGGATTTAGAAATAAACTCTCTTTAAATGCAGAGTATCATTTTTACTACAGCCACATAGCAAACAGTCACTTGTGGCTAAATCTATTGTTGTGCAAAAATTACATAATCCTGCATTAAGATGTAAGTGAATTCTCCTTTGTTAAATTGGACCAACGATCAAATTCTTTTTGCAACCTTAATTGATTAATAGCTATATAAATAAATTGCAATAATTATGCTTATTGTGTGAAGCAATGTGCAGGGCAGGTACGGATTCAGCAATGGCACGCTTGATCCAGTGTATCTCTCCTATGTGCCGTTAAGCAAGGCAGCATTACACAAGTAATCCAGGTGGATTGAGAGACGAGAGAGGACAGACAGACAGTCAACATTAATCCAATAGAATTTAATTGGAACAATGTAAAATATGCACATCTTATTTTACAAAAAATAGTGTGTGCTCTCAACTCTGTACTCGGCTAATGTATGAGGGGGCTGCATGTATTTCCACCTTTAAAGCTGCAGTAAAAAATAACTTTTTGTCATGTTTGCTGAAACTGATCTTTTTATTTTTTCAGATTCTTGTAAATACCATTAGGAGCACTAGGAAGAGCCACAGGAACCTGATTATTTCACAGATTATCTGCTCTCATTACTACTGCTCAGGATATAGTGAAAGTTTCAGCAAATATGATCAAAAGTATTATTCATAAAAGGTTACCTACTGCAGCTTTAAACCAGCATACAGTATATATTTATATATTATATATAATTAACAATTTATTGTGTTTTGACAGATTTGTGAGACTTAAATCTGACTGAAAACTTACAAGGGTGTGAGTAACGTGAAATTTTGTTTAAAAATGTGTTTGAAAAAACAGTTTAAGGAAATACAACCTCTAAGATATGAAACTGGTCAGTTTTCAGCTGAGCTGTGAGGTGACTGTAGTCAGATTCATCCAGAGTTCCCCTGACAGATTTTCCATGGAGTTCTAACACTGTGGTGAACTAAAACTTGTGATATGCAAACAATTTGACAAAAACTTTTCCACATGTCCACACACTTTTACCACATTTGAACCACAATGCGAGTATAAATACAAAGCAAACATAACAAACTTCATGGCTCAGATTAAACATTGTGAAACCTTTTCAGACTTATGTGTATATTTTTTACATACAGTGTATTGAACATCCTGTAGGGAAAATTGCAATGGAAATCTAACTAGTGGCCAGGGGTGTTTCCAGACTGCAGGGGTCCAGTCATCCAGTTTTCTATTCAAATACTCTCAACTCATTTATACCACATGCAAAACACTGCATGTTTTTAGATGACACTAGTATATTCACTCTAGCTTTAAAATGGGGCCCGCTACAGCCTCTGAAACACAGCTGAAGAGGAGGAGGTAAGGATATTGGGGTGGCACTTGGGGTGCTCCAGGCCCCTCCTCTGCAAGCTCCCCTGCCCATGGCTCCAGTACTTCGGCTCAATTTGTCTTTGTAAAAGTGAAGGAAGGCATATTGTGTAGAAAAGTGTCTGAAAATCAAATCAGATCTTTCTCATCCAAACAGCAACAAAAAGAACATCAGGACAAAACGCACAATAACAGCACACAGTTTCATGACTTGTACAACATTGACTCAGATTTTAAAATATTTTAAAACCTCTTTCTCTTTGTACAAAATTAATAATCTTTGACCTAACACAGAAATGTACATATAGTATTGTGTAGTTTTGTGAGTGTCAGAGTTAAAAACAGTGCAGTAAACTCGTCCAGATTCTCTACTGGCATCAAGACAGTTTAGTTTGTGAGGTTGTGAGGAAGGCTGACATCCACTGCTAAGCATTAATTACAAGGCCCCGAGTAGGAAACTCAAACACACCCAGTTCTCCGTTGTCTTCTGGTTGATTAGACTTCTTTACAGACGCTGTATGCTGGGAATTACATGAGGTCACCAAACGACTGCACACGTACTATGGCAAGCACTTTTAACATCTAATCAGCAGCGGTAGTAACAGCTGTAGATATTAACAACTAACCAATTCAATTCTTACTATCTTCATTGTTTTTCATGTTTAATTGTTCTTTTTCAACGTGTAGAAATGTAAGTATGTGTAAATATTATTCTCACAAGGGAAAAAGTGATAACTGGTATCTATAATTAGAGATATCTGTAAGTCAGTTTTGACTAGTTGTAATTTCAACATGTGAAAATATATGTGGTAACATGTAAAAATAGTTTTAGTTATCTTAAATCAACATTTCGACAGGTAGAAATGTAATTTCCACTAGTGTAAACTAGGTGACTACTAGTCAGCTGATTAGATGGAAAAATGACTTATAAACGTAGTGATCAGAATGATAGTGGTGGGAGGTTTTTCATCATAAGATAGATAGATAGAAATACTTTATTTATCCCCGAAGGGAAATTATAATACGCAGGTGCAACCAACAAGAAAGTGTGGGTCAGCCAAACACAGTCTGAACATGGCCGCAAGGTCCTGCAGAGAGCTCTAATCAGTGAGTGAAC